ACAGAGACAGAGACAGAGACAGAGACAGAGACAGAGACAGAGAGAGAGACAGAGAGAGACAGAGAGAGAGACAGAGAGAGAGACAGAGAGAGAGACAGAGAGAGACAGAGAGAGACAGAGAGAGAGAGACAGAGAGAGAGAGAGACAGAGAGAGAGAGACAGAGAGAGAGACAGAGAGAGAGACAGAGAGAGAGACAGAGAGAGAGACAGAGAGAGAGAGAGAGAGAGAGAGAGAGAGAGAGAGAGAGAGAGAGAGAGAGAGAGAGAGAGAGAGAGAGAGAGAGAGAGAGAGAGAGAGAGAGAGAGAGAGAGAGAGAGAGAGAGAGAGAGAGAGAGAGAAATAGCCTTTTTAGAAACGGTCGGTATAGGTATTTAGCGACAATGCACGGATTTAAAATGAACGTTAATCCTTCTCACAGCTAGCCTGTTCAACGTGCTTCCATTTACATCGCTAGTGACCTCGCCTTTAGGCCATGTGACCGGAAACCGGCAGCTAAACAGCAGATATTTTAGGGGCGCGGAAACCCTGAAGATTGGCTGTGCCGCAATGTCATTCCTGGTGGTTTTGAACCTGGCTAAAGCAGGCAAAAGTGCATTCCGAATCGGAAATTTCTGAGAAAATATTCTCACTCAGTTACGAGTTACGACCACGGCATGCCAAAGCTGCTGAGACTGAAGCAGCATTTCAGCGGCTATCGAAGAAAATATGGGGTCTAATGGACACAAATGTTCCATCATCTTCGTCAAGGTCAAATAAATGACTGACAGGCTGGTCCACGAGGGGATCCTGGACATGACAATCAAGGCGACTTGTCTAAGGTAAGTCGCCTAAGCTTGCGCCTAAGTGTCATTTCGCACTTCAAAAGCTCCAACAACGCCGCTGCCGTCCAAAACAAACTGACAGAGGAGCTCGGCGGACCAGATCACCGTGGTGAAAGAGATTAGGCCTCTTTATTATCCCAGCCTTAACCCGCTCGACTAAGGCATGCTACGCGTTTTGCAGAATAAGCTCTAGGCCACCTCTCATCCCAGCCTGGAGTCGCTGAAGACTCGCATCCTGACAGCATGGGAGGATAGAAAATGTCCTGCATCGTCAAAACCCGCAGGCGTTTTCGCCCTTGCGTCGAGGCCGTCGTCGGCACAGACGGTGATTACAATGAATGGGCACTTAGCAGAATCATGTGGCTTGGTGTTCCTGGGCGTTGTTTTGTTCTATTGTTGAGTATCTATGGACCAGACATTTATTTTAAAAATGTTGAAAACGCCAGGACTTTCCGAACACCCTGTAGACCTAACATGGCGAGTCATATCACGCGGAATTTTGACAGCCACCATTGCCCTTTATTATCAGACCCGGAATCCGAGTCAGAGTCGGAGTCGGAGTCGGTCAGGAGCCCGGAGTCGGAGTCGGAGTCGGAAGAGCACTACCACGACTCCGAAACCCTGAGCTGGACCGACTCCGACTCCGACTCCGTTGGAGTCGCTCAGGAGCCGGGAGTCGGATTCGGAGTCGGAGTCGGAAGAGCACTACCACGACTCCGAAACCCTGAGGTGGACCGACTCCGACTCCGACTCCTGGCTGCTTGCCACGACTCCGGGCGACTCCGACTCCGACTCCGACTCCGACTCCGAAACCCTGATAACATGTCTAATATTGATAAATGTTTACTTACCAAATTTTGGTATATACCTGCAAGTACTTGCTAAAAAGTCAATCTCAAGCGCGGAGTGATTGAGCGACGTCAACTTAAAAAAAGGCATTTTTTAGCAAACATGTGCTTGGATCCGGAAAAATGGATCTGAGATCCGATCCCATGGATCCCGATCCGAGATCCATTCAGATCATAGATCCAACCCCTCAATTTTGTCGAGAGATCTACTGGGATCATAGATCTGACCCTTCAATTTTGTCGCTAGATCCACTCGGATCATAGATCTGGCTCCCCAATTTTGTCGTGAGATCCATTGGGATCATAGCTCATAGGTGCTCAAAATGTTAACAACTTTCTTTCATAAGAAGTTATGAATACCAAAGTATGGTTAGAAACAAACAATCTTATACAAAGGCCATATTAGTAAAGGCATCCAGTTACATTATAGAGAATACAAAATAAAGGAGGCTCATGACGGTCACAACTTGAGAGAATTGAGTGACATGAAGATTGTTCACATACCAACAGAAAAGTTTGCATTAACAATTAACATAGAGGTAAGTCAAAGTAATGACTAATTAACAATACATTACTAGGTACCTACCACATCACAATTCATGTTAGAATCTACATAATGATATTGATAATACAATCTTGCATTAGACAACCATGAGGCTTTCCAGCTAACACAATTGATTGATAAACAATAAAAGATTATACTGACACATGTGGCTTGGTTAGGTTAAGGTTTCAATCTATTGAAAGAAATATTTGGTAAAATAAACTGAGATATAAACAAAAGTATAAAAATATTCAACAGCCTGCGGAAGCGATGGGAAGCGAAATATCAATTGTAATGGCCTTGGATATTTGCCGTAAAATGATAATTCAGTATCTAAATAGAACTCGTGACGTCATTTCAAATAACAAATGATCTGAGCATTCTCCCTTCGAGTATAATGTAAATAAATAAAAAATCAAACTAGAAATTCAGAAGTCTGGAGTTTTTCAAAAAAGTGTTCATTTTTTTTGCCTCACATAATTTTACGATACGATTGTTTGTGAATATCATCTTTGTAACGTTGATTTAATGACGTAAACGTAAGCTGAAACGGTATTACATGGCCCTGAGCCGGGTGTGCGCTTTGCATCTTTGTTTTATTCACTTTTCAAAAGAATCACAATATCTTACGTCATTAGTTTGAAGGGCCTATCACGGGGAATCTTTTGGAATCATTACGGTTTTAGTCAAATTAAGATTTTTCATTGGTCAAACGATAATGACGTAATAAAACAATATTACCAAAACGTGAGCTGTGAATTTCGTTTGTCTTTTTTTGGGAGGCTCTCTCATAACGAAAGCACAGCATGACACCACACGTGGCACGATGCCAAAAGTAGGTAATCTGGAGAAGTTGATGCCATTTTTGAGCTTGCAATTTTATTAGGAAAATATTAGAGGTTGGTTGCTATTCTTACTAAATCGAAATTGTGTTGCACATACTAATAGCTCATACGAACATTCTGGATTGGGATTTCATACCTGGCAGAAGTGGATTGCTGGATTATTTTTTAGCAAAACTGACCTATTTGGCTTCCAGGTTTGATTTCCTAACATCTGTCCATAGGCAACGGATCAGGGGGGGGGGGGGGTGGCACCAGGGAACAGTGCCCCCCATAGATTTTGGCATTTTACCATAAGCCCTACTGGCGTTGCATGGAAAGAATGGGACCAAAATGGAAATCTGCACTGCCCCGCTGCCACTGCATCTATCTGTACTGTTTGTTCATTGAATTAAAGTGGCTGTAGCTTGTTGATAAGATTGTCATCAGTGCTGTCATGAAAAAGTTACAATTGGTCACAAAAAGTAGCAATGTGCATGTTCTTGGCTTATTTTAAATGTAGTACAAATGTTGTTGATTTATATTCAAATTTAATGATGATACCTAATGATTACAACTGGTCTTAACCATGTCCACAACCCACAAGTGACAATTCTCAATTGTATTGCACTGTAAGGTGTACAGTTATGTAGGATAAGGGTTTCATTGGCTACATGTTGTCGTGAGATCCATACAGATCATAGGTCCTCCACAAATTTTTGCCCGCTGGATCCACAGAGATCATAGATCGGACCCCTAATTTTTTTTTTTGGAGAGATCCATTGGGATCATAGATCTAACCCCTGAATTTTGTCGAGAGATTCACTCGGATCATAGATCCAACCCCTTTATTTTGTCGAGAGATCCACTGAGATCATAGATCCAGCTCTCGGATCCATGCACATGTCTGTTTTTTAGTTCGGTAAAATTCAATGAATTTACATGATACTTATTTCTTTCTACTACAAAGCAGTGCCAGCACCAATAAGGGAGGGAAATGTCATCCTATATCTTAACCCTCGCCGGCACAGGAGGTTGATGCAACCCCTTTTAGGTTTTTCGCAAATAACTCGCGTAAAAAGTGCCCGATCGTAACGAAACTTTCAGTATCCTTGCACTGATCACTTTTACACATACCCTTTAAATTTCATGACCCTGAACCAAATGACCTTTGACCTATGACCTACCTTTCGAGACCATGTTTGGCCGGAATCGCTATTCGGCGTGTGTCGGCACGCATTAGTCGCGCGTTTGCAAGCTTTTCGTGGTTTCAAACGTTGAAACATGTGATTTGATGTTGCTCCCATGCATTAGGGTAGATGTCAAGGTCACCTTAAGGTCAGGTCAGGTCATTGACCTTTGTTGACGTCGGTTCACTTTTTAAGTTTTACATGTTTCTATGCTAGTTTTTGGGGCTGAATTCGAATTCAGCAACCATTTGAACATTTACGAAGTAGTTTTGGTGCCTTCGTAACATGTCACGAAGCTGTCAGAGGCGGTTGACACGTACTACGAATACCCGTCGCGACCCCTACTGGTTGACCTGACCTGACCTGACCCGACCTGGTCTTAATACTTAGGCATCATCTGTGATCAAAACTAACACAATATTCGTGATCAGCACCCTGAAACCCCATAGCAGCCACCCTTTACGACACAACAGGTCCCGATTTTCCCGACTTTTGGGTCATTGACCTGACCTGCAAGGTCAACCGATGACCTAGGACCTAAAAATTGGGTATCATCGGCTTTCTCTCGTAACAGGCAGCACGCTGATTTTTTTCTGCGAAGCTCTTGATCGATCAGGGGTCAAATGCGAGGGGGTCGTACCAACCTTGTGCCGTCGTCCGTCGATGGACGCAAAATGGCCTGTGCCGGCGAGGGTTAATAACAACACATAACAACACGTGAGCAGAGCACCACCAGTTGCGGTAACACATGTGGCACGTGACCGCCGGTACTCACTGTGGTAAGTGTCACGTGACGCGTCCACGCAGAAGGCGATGGAGATGAAGAGGGCGAAAATCTCCTCAGTGGATCGCGTCGACCAGCGCATCAGCCGCGAGACGTCAAACACGCTGTACAGCATGATAAAGAACGAATTCCACAGGCCAACGGCGCAGTACATGGAGAAAAAATCCAACTCGAAGTCGTCGCAGATGTTCTTGATGACTGGAACAGGGGCGGGAGCGGGCGGGGCGGGCACTGGCAGTCAGCGCTGACCTCAAGTACCATCGACCTTTCACCTAAAGTCATAGGCGAAAATTGTTGCATACCTTTCGTGACTTGACATGACTTCAGCGACATAAGGACAAGGAGGGGTCACGGTTGCCATTTTCCCATTCAGTGTGTCATGTTTGGACGTAACTGGGTGTTTGAGAGTGTTTAGAATGACGCCCAAAAAGGCGCCTTGGAATTTTATCCCACTGACATATATTGTACTAAAAAGTTCGCAAAAATAACTTGACCTTAGGTCACGTCATCAAAAATCTGCGAGATACATTTTATCATTACATTTATTTTACATTATATTAAAAGTTATTACAGGGTGGGGCGTAAGTTCTGTTACAAATCTTTAGGGCTGATGTTAATGACCTTTTGACCCAAATTAATTCATCGCAAGTACCTTGTTAAAAACGCCTGTAAATTGTGAGCTTTTTTTGAAAGTATCAAATCTATATTACTATTTGAACCAGGGTATATTGAATTAGGGTGTAGGACCAAGTTTAGTAGGCATGATCTCAGCAATTATCGTGTTTTATATGGCGGTTTTCATTATCACAATATTATTTTTGATATCATGAAGTTTGTATATCTCGGTTTTACGAAAAATAGTAGGGCAACAAAGATAAATTTCGCGAAAAAATAATTTTAGTTGGAAACATCCATTCTGGTATGCAAAATTCAGTATGAAGCCCAGTATGGTGACCGTCTAGTGTGCTTCCAAGGCTGAGTACCTGATATCAACAAGAGTTGTTTACTATTTTGCCTTACGTTGCTAGGTGGTTGCTAGGGAGCTAAGGATACTCTCCTGCGCGATCATTTGCACTTATTTTTCCTCATTATATCGACATGTTGCTGTTTCTAAGACCTAACTCATGGTAAGAAAAAAGCAGTTTTCTTAAAATGTGTATTTAAGTGCCGTAGCATTAACACAGCTCTGAAATTCTGCTTAAATATCTGCAAAATCCTGACTTCCCGGAAAATTGTTGGTGGTGATGGGGATCGAGCCCGTCGATGAAAAGTAAGTCAGTATTCAAAGGCTTCAAAACGTTATTTCTTGTTGTTCTGTGAAATAGCAATGCAAAGACCGATGATAGTGCCAGTGTAGAGCTTTCCAATGAAGCATTGCAATTAGTAGTAAGGTTATTATCACCTAAGATATCCTTAATCAAATATTAGAATTCTGCCATTGTCTTGCTGTAGAACTGGGTTACTTTCAATCTCTTGGGAACACGATTTGCCGGTCTCAGATCGAAAAACATTTCAGAAAGCGATAATAGACAATGAAATTTCCCACCTGATAGCATCTCGGGTTTTTATATATCCTGTCTAGAATTTTCATAAATCAGACGTAAAAATGGCCAATTTCGTCAGATTACGAATTTTTGCCATTGGGTCTAATGTAAAGCATGGCTACTTTCAGTCTCTTGGGAACACGATTTCCGTACCTCAGATTGAAAAACACTTCAAAAGTCGCAGATAGTAGACGATTTAATCTACAAGATAGCATCTCGCTTTTTTCTGTATCTGGTCATGTATCTTCATAAAACCCTCTCAAATATAGTCAATTTAGCATTAAAGTCTATGGATTTAGAAGAATTTTCATATCCGACTAGATTTGGGCTACCATGTCTGTTGACCGGGGGCCGATTTGAACAGGATCCATCTGTCTGTCTGTCTGTCCGCCACGTCGTGTAGTGGGTTCAATTTAGCCGGCCTACAGGGCAGACGGTATATCGTAGGGGGTTGAAATTTGCACACCTTATAGGTGACAGAGCGGGTCAGCGCCTTTTCTAGGTTTCCACTCGCTGGGGTGCACGGTTCGCGCGTGGGGCGCGCTGGAAGAACGGCAATGAAATTTTGATCGGTTCGTAGATCTTCATTGAGAGCCGGGGTCGACAAACTTTGTGAGCTAAATGCATGCCGATCGGTGGCGGGTGCCTCGCATTGGCGGATGGGCAGGTTTTAATTTGAATAAAAAGTGGCGAGATAATGTGTTGATTTTCATTCAATGGGAACAGTTTGTGATAAAAGGATAAAAACGCACCGCGTTTGCCGCAATGCGTCACATTGGTCACAAGGCGCCATTTTTGCCGCAGCTTGCACAGTTTTGTCAAATATGGCCCGATAAGGGTGCAATTTGGTGCAAAGATGCATGGCCAATCACAGGGTAAAAATGCGCCACGTTTGCCGCAATGCGCCACATTTGTCACAAAGCGCCATTTCCGACAATACGATTAAGGGTAATGGAATGGCACGAATAGGGGCAGGGCTGGGGACACTTTAAGTCCGATTGTTTTTTAATACCTATTGGATTCAATTAGTCTGTGACCTGACATCACCCAGTGGTAGGTAATGGTAGAGGTAGTGGTAGGAGGTAGGGGTAGGGGTAGGGGTAGGGGTAGGGGTAGTGGTAGGAGTAGTGGTAGGGGTAGGTGTAGTGGTAGGGGTAGGGGTGGTAGTAGTGGTAGGGGTAGTGATAGGGGTAGTAGTAGGGGTAGTAGTAGGGGTAGTGGTAGGGGTAGTGGTAGGGGTAGTGGTAGGGGTAGTGGTAGGGGTAATGGTAGGGATAGTGGTAGGGGTAGGAGTATGGGTAGTGGTAGTGGTAGCGGTAGGGGTAGGGGTAGTGGTAGATGTAGTGGTAGGGGTAGGGGTAGTGGTAGGGGTAGGGTAGTGGTAGGGGTAGGGGTAGGGGTAGTGGTAAGGGTAGTGGTAGGGGTAGTAGTAGTGGTATGGGTAGTAGTAGGGGTAGTAGTAGGGGTAGTGGTAGGGGTAGTGGTAGGGGTAGGAGTATGGGTAGTGGTAGGGGTAGATGTAGTGGTAGGGGTAGGGGTGGGGGTAGTGGTAGTGGTAGGGGTAGTGGTAGGGGTAGTGGTAGGGGTAGTGGTAGGGGTAGGGGTAGTGGTGGAGGCAAAAGCAGAACAGTGGCCCGGGCTGATCCCATTGGACGGGAGGTGATCTATGTGACCTGGCGTGACCCAAAGTGACCGGGGCTGACCCCCTTGACCCGTCTTGACCCTGTATCACCCAAATTTCATCCAACAAAGCCCTCAGAACAGATCTTTTTAAATTCTCTTCGCATTCCCGTCCATATCTATGCTTTTAGACGACACATCGACTTGAATCGAACACCATTCGAAAGCAAATTGGCTGGTGCCGCAATTTTTCCTACCACGCAGCAAAGCAAGTGGCGCAGCCGCTTGTCTAACTTACTATTCAAACAGAATCCGTCTGTCTGTGAGTCTGTGTGTCCGCACATCGTGTAGTGGGTTCAATTTGTTACGGCTAGAGGGCAGACGGTACGACGTAGGGGGCTGAAATTTGCACACCTTCTAGGTGACAGAGCGGGTCAGCGCCTTTTCTAGGTTCCGACTCGCTGGGGTGCACGGTTGGCGCGTGGCGCGCGCTGGAAGAACGCCAATGAAATTTTGATCGGTTCGTAGATCTTCATTGAGAGCCGGGGTCGACAAACTTTGTGAACCGTAGTGCGAATTCTGCTTTTATGAGCTTCCGATTTGTGTGTTCGTATTTTCGGATCGTTTTCTTGAGAGATGTTGATAATTGTCCGATTATATTGGCAAAGGTTTCAGACATAACATGTATACAAAATTAAATTCCTTAAGCTTTCGAAGACATCTACATCTTCATGATCACAAGGTTAAATTGTAAAAGCACAGAGCCTAAGTTTGCTATTAGAATGGAAGGGAGAAAAACTAAATACATATTGTGCGTGATAAATTGCTAAGGCCTCTTGCAGTCGTCACATTCAGTAAACACACTAACTAATATACCTACATCGTTCCACACTTGGATGCATGACACATGACACATTTTGGTAATATGACACCTTTCTATGCACAGATACATAGATACCCTAAACGTCATATAGCCCTCCTAAATCCGATATCACTAATGCCCATCGCATTGTTCAGCTCCAAAGCGTGAGTGTCGTGCACCCCGACTTGTAGAGCTGCTTGTTGATGTGAGGCGAGTACTCACGGATGTACAGCGCCTCCAACACCCACAGTCTTCGCTGGTCATGGGTAGAGCACAGTATTTCGGTATTGTTCACCAAAATTTGTCGTGTGATGTCCTTGTCATGTTCTTTGTGCATGTGATTCTTCAGTGCGCCTTGTTGTTTATGCATTGTAAGTCGTCTGGACAGGGATGTGGTAGTCGCGCCAATGTATTTATCTTTGTTGAGAAGTCTACAACCTTCTTCGGGGCAACTGAATTGATAAATTACATTGGCTTGCTGTAAGTGTCTGTTGTCCTTGTCTCGTGTCTTCTTCTTGAACATGTTGTTGACCATGACGAGATCTGCGGTTTTCCTCGTGTTGTAATATATGATGAGTGTCACTTTCTTCGCCTGGTCTGTCGGCTTGACGTTAGTCAAGATGAGATCTCGGATGACCCTCTCTTCCGTTTTGTAGGCTGTGTTCATTTGACTGCGGTAGAACAGTTTGATTTTCTCCGTTTTCTCCGTTTTGTCTTGACTTTTCTCATCGTTCTTCTGTCCACTTTCCTCGCGCTCTTGCTGCTCACTCTGCAGTCTGCTCACCTTTCTCGCTCCTCTGATGGCAGGCATCAAGTTGTCTTTTGATTTCATTATCGACGAGGTGATTGCTGTATCCATTGTTGACGAGGATTTGACGAGATCTGGTGAGCTCTGCATGGACATGTTGCCAAGATGAACTGTTGTTAACAGCCCGCCTGACAAATGCCTTGATCACACTCAGCTTGTACCGCTCAGGGCATTCGCTCTGAGCGCTGAGACAATGTCCTTCGTCCGTTGTCTTCCTGTAGACCGAGGTACTGCACATGCCGTCATCCAGCTTCTCGACCATGGTGTCGAGGAATGCAATCTTGTTGCCGCCGACCTCGTAGGTGAACCTTAAGACGGAAGCCTCTTCGAATGCCGTCTTCAGCGTCTTCAGATGCTCCTCATC